ACCCCACACCCACACCCACACCCACACCCACACCCACACCCACACCCACACCCACACCCCGTCATGCATTATTCAATGTTCTATTCTACTTTCATCGATTCGTTGAGAGTAAGATAATCGAATACGATGCTGCTCATGGTAATTCATCTGCCATGCATTATTCAGTCCTCTTTTCTAGTTTCATCTACTGCTTGGAAATAAGATAATTGAATACGACCTTAGTTAGGCTAATTCATCTGTCGTGCATTTTTCAATCTTCTATTCTGCTTTCATCGATTCGTTAAGAGTAAGATAATTGCATACGAGCTTGTTTGGAACATGTCACCTGACATGCATTACTCAGTCTTGTTTCTCACTGCGATCGGCTCGTGAAGAGTAAAATAATTGAATACGACCTTGTTTAGAATAATTCATCTGCCTGGAATTGTTCAGTGTTTTGCACTACTTCCATCTATTTCCAGGGAGTGTAATCGTTGAATAAGGAGATGGTTTGAATGATTCACTCATAATGTGATATTTTAACGCTATGTTTGTAGGTAGTTTTAGCTTTGACATGCCAGAAAATGAATAGATGTATTGTAGTAGCTATGTGTCTGTTTTGTGTAAACTTTCAGCGTAGAATGTTTTATTATATTTGTGATGGAATGAGAACTATATATACGCATAGAAATCTACTAATTCGTGTAGTTCGTTGCTAAAGTGATATGCGATAGTATTAGTCAGGGCATACTTTTTCTTCAGAATCTTCGATATTATTGAACAAAGCTATGTTTGGAATGATTCATCGACTGTGTGATCTAGAACTACATCATAAAGTTTTGCATTGCATTCTTGATGAGTTATTTGGTTGAAGAAAGCTCTAATTAAGACTAGTCACTTCTGACGTATTCATTATTCAATGAGTAAACGATGCTCTGAGCTTTATTCTCAAGAAGTTCTTTTTGAACAGATGTTTTATCAAAAATGTTCACTTTGTATATGAGCTGTTCTGCTTCAGTAACAAACAACCATTGGTTGAAAATGAATCATATACTTGAACAGAGTTATTATTAAGTTGATTCATTTTCTTGAGGATTCGTCTCCTCATAATAACGACATCAGTTTTGCTTCACAGTTAACAGTATACATGCCAGAAAAGATTGTTGCTGGTATTCGTTTATCATGTGACTGGTAATTAAATCGCAAAATTTAGTTTTGTTTGAAGTGTTGGGTATGGATTGAACCGGTTACTTGTTAAGAACATTTAGTTTCTTGGGGATTTCACCCACATAATGCTTGCAATTGTTTACTTCAAAATGTGTATTAAATGTGAACACGTAGTTTGTCGTGGCAATTCATACGATATGCGATCAATAATTTGGCGTTGTGTTAAACAACGATCGTTGAGTTCAAAACGAACGGGAACACGTTTTTCAAAATTAACATCTCAAAAATTGTACTCAACGTTCATGAAGTGACTTCGAACATTACATGCTCTCGTTTTACTTCTTCATATATTTTTGCCGAACTCCTTTTCTTGGTAAACTTTTGATGTTATATGAATGTAAACTAATCTTGAAGAGGCTTTGTGTCATTTGTACTTATCAAAGAGCTTTTTAGCATTTGAAAATCTTATCGAACACAAACCCTAATTAAGTTTAGATGACTGTCATATACTATTAAATACTTAGAAGACGATGTTTTAATCCAGCATAACAAATTTGCATAAAATTACTAATCCATGGTGAAGGTTTCATTAGTAGAGTTAGTCTCTTCATTCTTAATTGCTTAGTTAGGCTTTTTCTCTTTCTATTTTTCTGGAATAAATATTCATGTTTTTTACTTTTTATGAGTCTTATTTTTTTTTACATGTAATCATCATTTATACTTGCTTTAACATTCCTAATAAATACTTTATATGAAAATACTGAAAATATAGCTGAATTTATTGAGTTAATCGTTTTCCAAGTTAATAAAGAAGTAAAATGCTGCAAAATGTTCACACCATGCATCTCACAATCTCATAAAATAGCTATCATTACATAGTATACTTCCGAAAAAGAAATTTTTTGTTCTGTTTTATCTTATGGTAATCGAAAGAGCACGACAAAAGTTATGCATTTTTTTCATTTTGTAAATGTTGCAACTGAAAAAATAAATAATTCTACTCCGGACCATGACGGTGGGTGTGGATGTCAGTGTGTAATAGTTAACACGATACCGTAGGTATTTCGAATGTTCAATGAGTGCAGTACAATATTGGTGCTGTGCATGTGTTGGATCGCTTATGATTGTTCTGGTTGGGTGTGGGTGCGGTGGGTGTGTTAAGCTCTTGTGATATCGATATTGTATCTCAGCAACGAGACTTCTCAAATGACACTGGTATCGAATAAAATTTCAAAGAATTTTTTCGAAACAAAGTTGATTCTATACTGTTATGGACGTTATTTTCGCAAGTTTAGTGTAATTGAATTGAAACGCCGTGGTAGTTGAAGTTGAATATTCTGAATATGGTGAATTTAGGCGTGTCAGTCGAGCATGCTTGTGGTTTTGTATATTTTTCGAATGGAGGGTGGGTGTGGGTGTGGGTGTAGGCGTGTGGATGTAGATTGGCTTTTCCCGTTTACTAACACCCACACCCACACCCCCACCCACATCCATACCCAAAAGAAAAGGAACAATCATTGAAAAGATGAGTGAGTGCTAACTAATTAATAATGCCCATCGTGTCGGATGATGATTGACGACTCCATTCAACTGTCAGCAGATAGATGAGTTCGCGTCACATTCTATTAAAAAAAGGAGTATGATAAGTTAGAATAGACAATGCATATATTACAACAACATACCAAGCTTTTTTCCCACGACCATAATAGTAATCATCGCCACGATAATATACATGACCAGGAGGAGCAACACGTGTACGACAAACACGACTACCGGACCGATCTTTACCATCGCAAATATTAGTCAGAGTACCGGTGTCACGAGTGCCAGCAACAGAATATTTACTACAACCACACGTACGATTGCCAACACCAAAAAGTCCCCGAAGAATACCAGTGCAAAGAACACAATGACCGCTTTCAGGATCATCATGACCACAACAGTCGGTATGACTATTACAAACAGCATCAAGACTAAGGCAACCACTTTTTTCACAGCTTGCTGTGATTTTTTCCATTTTATGGCATGACAATGTTCAGCCAGAAATACTAAGATACACACAAAGTAAACCACAATTTTAATATTATTCATATGGCTGGTGTCAATGGGTGCAGAAATACGAGTATATGTAACAGTTATAAAATATGTTTGCTTATGGTTTTATACAAATACTGCTGCTCTTATATAAGCACCGATTATTGTAGAGAAATGAATGAAAAAAAAGCTTGTAATCATTATGTAGAATGGATCGGAAGCAAGTAGCTAAAGGGTTATTTGTGAACAGAGAATATTTAATCAGTATAAAAAGAATTACTCATCTTCTCGTCGTTCGAGAACACGTAGACTCTTTTTGTCTGTAAGACATGCTTACGCATACAGTCGCTGAACGCTCGAGAGGGTGGATGAATTAAGGCCTCCCCCCCTAAAAAATCTGTCTCAGCCCAGGAATATCCAAATTGCATGAAACTTTCAGGATATGTTGGGGCTGGAGAGCGGAGACTACCATAAAATTTTCGGCCCGAAATCTTCAGGTTTTAGGGAAATATGAACCAAACAAGGGTCAAAAATGACTCATTTGGCATCCCAAAATTTTCGGTCCTGGTTCGTTCAATATATTAATATTTTGTTTTTGTTGGAAAGAGCATCTCAAGATGCAGGGCATGATGGGGCCGTTTTTTTGAAATAGTCCATTTTTAAGCGCAAAAAAGAGATCACAAGTTCAATTACTGAAAAAGTGTCAAAAAATGGTAACGAAATCATATAACTGGCTGTATATTGACCAAACAAAGGCTTAATTAAAAAAAATGGTCCCATCCTGCCCTGCGCCTTGAGACGGTCTTTTAAACAAAAAAAGATATTAATGCATTGAACGAACCAGGAACGAGAAATTTGGGATGCGCTTTTGAGAAAGCGGAAACGGAGAGAAAACGAAAAACATTTTTTGATTTTTCAAAAAACAGCTGGTTTTTCGAATAGGGGTTGACGGAAATCTTGAAAATTTTTTGGGAAAATGAAGTAACGAGAAAAACAAATTATCGTTTATAAAAGAGCAGATGACGGGCTATCTTCCCATGTATTTATCTCAGCTTTGACCATTCCAACGAAAACTGACGTTTTATGAGGGGGGGGGGCTTAATTGAAAACAAACAGATCTATCTCTTAACGAAAAGTCTATTCAATCTACTAATTTCAACTTTTGCCTTTCGGTTTTCGATTAACCCTCGATTCAAGGTTTAGCTTTTTCTTAATGAAAAACTATTTAATCACTTTTTACGACAGTTGTGCAAGTAGTTTGAAAAAAATCGTCTAATCAGTCTAATTCCAGAAAGTAAATAAAACACACTAAATGCTGTCTGTACTCGATTAAAATTTCTCTTGGATATACAAGGTGACCCAAAATTTAACACGCAGTCTTAAATTACCGATAACTTTTGGCTACCCTATCTCTATATTTCCAATTTAGGATCTATATCTAAAAGCTTTTTATTCAAAAAAATATATTTTTGAATCAGTTAATCGTCTTGTTCGAAATGCAAACCGTTAGCTTGAATGCACTTGTGAAGACGAGATTCGACGGACCGATAAACTTTCTTGCATAAGTCGATTGAGATCTGTTCAAATGCATTAACAATCTCGCTTTGCAGCTGATCAATCGACGTTGACTTTATTGAATAAACTTCATTTTTGATCACACTCCAAGAAAAAAAGTCGCGTGGCGATACATCAGGCGATCTAGGGAACCATTCGATCGGACCATGACAACCAATCCATCTTCCAGGAAATTTCTCCTCCAAATACTCACGAGCAATTCGACTGTAGTGAGCCGAAGACTCGTCGAATTGATACCAGATATCGTTTAAATGGAGCCAATCAGCGATTGCGGAGTGAAAATAATCCTACAGCATTTCTACACAGCTCTCACCAGTGATAGTGAAACTAAAGAAAAATGGACCAATAATACCATATGATGACATGCCTATCCACACACAGATACCAGATACGTTGAAATCTCTTTCAATATCGACTGGAGGATTTTCGGATGCCCAGTAAATTGACTTATGCCTGTTGACGTGTCCATTGAGTTTGAAAATTGCTTCATCTGTCCAAATAATTTTATTAAGAATGCTGTTATCCTCTTTAACCATTGGCAGAAATTTTTCGTAAAATTCAATCCTTCGATCAGAATCATCATCATTCAGCTGCTGCACTAAGCGAGAACGATAAGGGTGCAAATACAAGCTAGATAACAGCAGCTTTATTTTCTGGTGTTCTAACGACAGCTGGTCGACCTAATTGCTATTAATCATCAACTGTACCGTTTTCGTGAATCTGATCAACAATATCCGTAACAGTTTCACGTCTGATTTGGTGATGGGATTGTTCATCGAAACGATGACATGTCTCACTCGTGTTATTCGTTTGATAGAACGTTTTTTAATACAAATACTCGTTGCTCTGTAGTAAGCTGCTGTCCAAAATCTTCATCCATTGTCAGATATATCTTAAGATCCTGTACGAATTGAATGGGAAACAGAAAATACCAGATGGAAGTAGTAGCTTTATTCTTTTAACACACTGCAACTAAGACGATCGTACAAAAAAAGAATAAAAAACAAAACAGTAATAAAAATATGCTTTCCTTTCCTTATTGTAAAACATTCCTCGCTCTTTCATATCTTGCCACTATCAACGTTTCACATTCATAGAGAGAAATGCGTTGAAACAGGAGAGAAAGCACGAAGAACACAATGCATGCTAAAAGAGCACACGAACAACAAGAGCTAGCGATGACCGCTGCTAAACGTTAGTAAGAAAACTTTATTTGAAAGAATCCAGGTAAATAAATTCGACACCAGAACTTATCGGATCTTGTCGGATCCGACGGATAAAGCCTATTCAATTAATTAAGTACAAATTACTAATTGGTGGCAATAGTTGAGATCAGTCCGAGTACGGTGTTGGATCCTGTTGAATTCCTGTCGGATCCGAGTCAGTCCTAATGTAGGATTGAACTACCTGGGAAGAGAGGTTATTTCGAAGATCGTGGGCTGATTACTATGTGACCAATCAGCATTGCTGAATAATACATGAAAATATGCAGCGAAATGCACTCTTTCGAATGGTGAAAATCACAGCTCTTTAGCTTTTTTCTATCAAAATCTATCGGTAACTAAAGACTGTAGGGTAACTTTTTGCTTATCCTGTATAATAGACTTTGAGCAAATATTGAATGAGCTTATTAAAAGAAAGGAGGCGAAGGTCATGATTAACGAAATTAAAATGTTTTTCTCAGTGTTCATCATATCTTGTACCATATCACATATTGGTCATTAGATAAATTCGCAATATGATGTTCATAAGCATTGTTGGAATCATTTGAAATGTTCCCTGGAACACGACAGTAACTCAAGGAAAAAAAGCTGATTTTTTTAAAAATTTAAATCAGAAAAAAATTTAAAAAAATATTATTCTAATGGTTTCCCCTTGCTAAAGCATTAGTAGTCGTATCAAAAATGGAGTTTTAATTCAAATGCAAACATTGCTTGGATAACAATCAAACAGGATATTGATGAAATGATTTGGGAATGTGTAATTAAAGTTTTCGTGGAATATCGACACTACTTTGAAGTCTAATGTTACAAAAATGAATCGATAACGTGAAATCCATAATCGATCTGAGAAAGATTCTCATAGAAAAATCATTTAAAAGTCTTAACTAAAACTACTTGTAATATTCATAGAATTTTGATATTATTTTAGGTTCGTTTATGCCTAAGTTTGAGAAAATACTCATTCAAACCGTATGTCTTTCAACAATCCGCAACAAAATTAATTGTTTGAGTCACTATTTTGTCCGAAAAACGGTAATCATTCTATTGTACTAATTCATATATAATCTTCAGAAAAACTATCTGTAGAAAACAATTTTTACTTCCCACTGAAATTCATAAGGAACAGATTGTATTAATCTTTGATCAATTGTGAAGATCTTTCACTTCACATTGAAATTCTTAATACTATACTTGATTAATTAGTTGGCATCGATTCAATCAGATTGTATGGGATCCGAAAATGTTTGGAGTAGTCAAAATGATTGTATTTTGTATGTTATGAACTTTAGCATTCGATTACTTATAGCCATCACTTAGTTTAGATTTATGTTTTATAAAATACTTTTTTTATAAATGAATAAAAACAAATTGCGGAAAAAAAAGGATTTTCAAATGTTCGTTCATGGTGTTAAATAATTAACCATTTGAAGCCAATCAGGAAACTGTTCCGGATGTTTTGCACTGACGCACCATAATTGATGTACTCCTTTTAATTGATATTCTTCAATTTCTTTCAATATTTGTTGTCGAAATGTTTCTCGTTCTTCTGTGTCAATTGAATCAAATTTATTTACGACAATATCATAAGTTAGACCCAGTACATTAAATAAGCCTAAAAGTTTAGTAATCTCTTTAATTGTTGCCGTGATTAATACCATACGATGAGTTAAGCCTTTCATTAAAGCTATATAATCCTTTGTGAATAAGGAAACATCATCATTTTTGCCTGGAATATCGTAAAGTCGATAATCTGATCCATCATATCCTGTAATTTCCGTAGTTGTTTCACCAAATCCAACTGCAGCCAATTTCGAACCCAATAGAGCATTGATCATTGAACTTTTGCCAGTAGAAGTAACGCCGTAAAAGCCAATATTACGACCAGTTAATGTAAGAGGAGTTACCTTTTTTGCAAGTTCATAAAATTTCTCAATGCTTCTCTTATCATGTTTATCTAAATCTTCTTCAGACTCTATGGTCTCCTTTTCTTGAAGCTCTTTTTCCAAAGCAATACAAGCCAATCGCCATCGTTCGAGTTGTTCCTTTTCTCTTTCAATTTCTTCTAGAGTCTTCGAATTACCAGATTCGGTATTACTGGGAAAAATCTCTCCAATGACTTGTTTAACCTCAGATTCTATTACTTCTCCAACTGTATTAGTAACTTCTGCAACTGAAGTCGTAACTTCTTGTACAGTTGAATTGACAGTGTTTTCGACAGCTGATGGAGCTAGAGAAATAAAAATAAACTAGGCTAGAAAAGGATAAAAAATCACAAACTCACCACCACCCATGTTCGATTTATCTTGTTTGAAAATGTGTTCACAAGAAAAAGACAATTATATATATTATATACCTGCGGTGAATATATACATGTACATATGATTCATCAAAACAAATCATCGATGATTATATTGACATGTTGTTTTTAGTTTGTTTCTATCGTAATGGTCATACTGACGCCATTAACTGTAATGTAAAGGAGAAACGAAAATAATAATTGCTTATGTGCAGAAATATATATAAGAGTGCATGTGTTTTGATCAAAGTATCAACAACATAAGCTACAATCAATCCTATTCCATTCAACATGGGCGGAAGTGAGTTAAAATATAATACATTACTACTTGAAAATATTAGAACACTGAGTATTTATGTATTCTCTAGTTATGAAAGTATTACTTTTCAATTCATGAGCAAATCGGTCTAATTCATACCGAAACATTTTAGAATATTCTATCGAAAGTATGGTTCTTTAATTGCTCAACATCAATACTACGTTCAGAAACTGGATTAGGATTGGACAATATTAAGCAGTGCAAATCAGCATATTACAGTGTTTAAATTTAGATGTCGTAGTTCATACTTCTGATATCTTATCGATAAAATTGGTTTCTGAGCGACTATTACTCAATCCATTCTTTCAACGTATCTAAGCAAAAGCAGTGATTTATAATTCTTGCAATTAAAGAAAGATTTACAGTTCAGAAAAATAGTCTCATTTCCTATCAACACTAGTAGCATTGTGTTGCGAAAAAAATACTCTTTACACAACTACTGTCTAATTATATTTTTCGATACTTTCTTTGAACCACGAATAAAATAAAATTTGAATATTATTTCTTACGTAGGCTTTTAAGTTCTTAGTTTCAGTGCTTAGACAATTCCCATTGAATGATCTGTTTGGGAGAAAATCACTTTAATAAATCTATACGACATATTTTCAGATCCACCTTGTTTGATAAAACTTTCCAAGACAAAACTGGTAGTGCAAAGTACACGAATGTATAATACGAGACTCGCTCTACATGAAATATATATTTGAATAAGGTTTTCAATTTGAAACAGCTAAGGAACGAATCATGGAAAGAAGTTTTTTTTTTTTTTGGAATAGTATTACTGTTAAGCACCAAAAACAAATCTGTATAACAACATTCGGAACTCATATTCTCCATAGAACATATTCAAATACTTAAAGACGAATAGATTCATCTCCTTAAAAACTAAAAAGTAACATGGATCAAATTCTTATAATTTTCAGTTCTGCTTTAAATATAAATAAAACTATTGCTTCTATATGTAGCGGAAACGAGATATGTTACGGATCCAGCTTTACTGAACGAATTACAAGCATATCGTAAACAAAATGAAGATCTCATGAATAAATATGCCGAACTTGTCCAAAAGATACAGGATCAAGATATTGATTCATTTGAAGATTTGGAAAAATACGATGCAAAAGCTGCCGAATCTTTAATAAAACTGGCTCAAGGAACAGTACCAATAAAAATGGAAGGTCGTAACTTTGGCTTTTTTGGAGCAACATCAACTGGTAAGAGTACAATGATCAATAAGTTACTAAATAAGAATGTTGCAGCGACAGGTGCTGGAGAAACAACCAAAGAAATTACGAAATACGATTGTGCGGATTATTTTCTCTATGACGTACCTGGAAAAAATGATGACATTTCATATTTTAGTATGCAATATATAAGCTTTTGGAAAGGATTAACTGGACGTTTAGTATTAATAAGATCAACATTAAAAGAGATGACTAAAGTATTCCGTCTACTCGATGCCATCGGCCTTCATTATGATGTAGTAGTCAATAGATTTGATGAAGTTGCAATGGAAGAACGAGACGCTTTTAAACAACAAATAAACAACGAGGTAACAGAATGCAAACTAAAAGGTGTTGATCATATATGGTTTCTTAGCGCACGCAATCCACCACAATTTCCTGATTGGATTGAAATGGTAGATTACTTAACAAAAGCTTCGTCGCTAACTTTAACAATCGACCTGAAGCAATGAATTACAAAAAAAAACGATTTTATTTTTTCTTATGATATTTATTTGATTAATAAACATTTCGATATCTCATGTAAGGATTCTCGAATTTCATTACAAGTAGAGCCATTCATCTGATAGAAAACCATTTTTTCTACCATTAGTCAGAGTATGACTGCAGTGATTCTTGAAAGCGAAACAACTATTAGTTCCGTTAGAAAGTGTTCATCAAAGATTGTTGATATTTTGAAAAATGAGAAAAAAGTTTTTGACATGGAAGACACTTGACTGATAGTTGATTTTAGTCGAATCGATCCGATGAGAAGAAAATTCAAATCAGCCTTCGCAATGATAATTTATGTTCATAAACGACGTCTTTTCTTTTCAACAGTTATTTTCTCGTGTGTATCGACGCATTCTACGGTTCTTATTTCTCTTATTTTGATATTCTCAACACTGCCATTGCTGATTGCACTGATTTTCCGTCTCTCGAATTATACGAGAAATCGCCAATATGTCACCCAATGAATACTTTTAGATACATCGTTGAATATTCACTTTAAAAATTTTTAACAGTGTCATCTAAATCGACTTTATCGACTTGTTAGAATTTCTTTGAAGATTAATACTTAATTATGTTTTATAATTATCTTGATATTGGTCTAAAAAAACTGGGCAGATGTTGCACAAGCAAAACATGGTATAAAAATGCGGTGTGGGTCTGCACTCGGTCCACACGTACACCCACACCAATACCTCTCTGATGTTTCGTGTACTCGTAGGGTTCTGTGTGCCCTGGAGTTCCTGAAATTCTTGGTGGCTGTGGTCGATTGCTGCTCATCTTTACAAAAATTGTTTGAGTTCAGAAAATCCTCAAGAGTTCAGAATTCACGGAATTGAACTACTGCTGGAACCTTCTGACGGAATCTCGTCGAAAATTCATCTTCGTAAGCTATTGCACGCATGTAAAAAAAGGCTGGAAATCTGATTAAAATCGATTTTCGAAAAAAACAATCGATTAAAAACACTATATTTTGACCAAATTCGAGCCAACATTAGATTATAATCAATATAATCGTTCACTTATCAACGTCCATAGGCGTATATATTAGTAGATATTATGGATGTTCTATAGAAGGATGACAATGTGCCCCATTGAAATTCGGAATTTTTTTAAGCAGTAACTGTCACTATAAGTCAGTAATAATTACTATTTAAAAAACTTCTCTTAGGCCTGGGCACAAATGTATCAGTTACAAATTGGCTTTACAATAGTAGTGTTTAATGATAGTCGACTAAATAGTGCCATTTAAATTAGCTTCAATCAGATCCCAAGTGACCATCCGATAGGCATTTTGACACATAGATTTAAGGTGGTCGTCGGCATCAAAATTTAAAATAGAGTGTCCGGATTCTCACTTACCGATAGATCAAGTATTCGGCCATGGGTCAGCAAAAGATGGCGTTTTCGACCGGTCGAACGATCTTAACTTAGGAGATTAAAATAAGAAGAATTTTTTTGACTGATATTTAAGTTTTAAGTCAACGAAACCTATCGAATAAGTGCGAAAAAAGAGATTAGAACATGAGTACTTGCTGTAAACAGTTGTCGAACATCTAAACTAAATATGACTGTTTTTCTTCTATGAAATTTATCTCTTACATTCGTAGATGGATAGTACTTATGCTATTTTTCTGTGAAATTATTTTAAATTTAAATTTTTCAGATTCTTTATTACGGATTTAATAAATTCTTCGCAAATGTAAATTCTTTACTCCTGATAGTACTCGAATTTTAACATTAGCTAACAGCTTTTAAAAATTAATTTCAAAAAGTCTAAATCCAAAAAAACCACACATTTTTCACCTCCCTAACTAACGAATTGACTTTTCTGCGAGTTTCAGATGCTATACAAGGAATTTAATTGATAAATATGGTATTTAATAAATGTAGATCACTCTTCTCAGATAGTCTAATGAAGGGGGCAGTTGCAAGCTTGCTGTTAAAGAAATTTCACAAGCTCCAAACAAACCTACTGACTTGAAACTGCTTTTATACTCTACTTGTGTCTATTGGAATACTCAATACGGTTCTTCTGATATCCTTGTTCAGCTCAAGTATTCGAAACTTCGCTAAGTATCAATGGATTGAAAACTTCTTGAGGAGTCGAACATAAGTCCCTATTATGGTCTGATATTCGATTTTTTTCTTTATTTTGTTTCAAATCGAAAAATGTCCTCACACACACATATATCTATATCTATCTGAACTTTGAGGACAAATATATATATAAATATCAACTAATGAGATCAAGGATTGAAAATGCAAGGACAAAAAAATAAAGAAACGAACAAATATATATATACATAACATCAAAGAGAGATGACCTGAGAAGAAATTTCTAGGGAAGATAAAGAAGAGAGAACAGAAAAAATCTGATATGGAGCCTCGAACAAACTCCGACAAGACAACGATCGTTGTACTCATCGTATGCTGTTTATTGTTTGCTTGAGATTTATCACAAAAGCTTTGCCTATGAAAAAGCGACAAAAACCTCTGATTTTAATCGATTTTTAATTAGAAAAAAATCAATTAAAATCAGATTTTTTCTATGCTTTTTTATAAGAGGAGGGTAGGCAGAAAAGAAAGAAAAAAAGACTTAAAAGACAGTAAGATAACGCGAGGTCGATGAGAAGAAGGTCAAAGCAAACCTCTTGCAGTGCAAAACATTTGAATCAACAAATCTTTTGTATATAAGTCTCGTTTTTTTGTATCACTGCTGACATTAGATTGTTTCGACAGAGCAACAAAAGCAACAATATGGCTCAAGACGCTATCGATAAAGATCAACTCGTGTTCGGCTATTGGGATATTCGTGGTCTGGCTGAACCATCACGATTGACTCTTCACTATACTAAAACACCTTATACCGATAAAATGTACCACATGGGTGATGCTCCTGAATATAGTCGCGATGAATGGCTTAGTGAAAAGTTTAAACTCGACTTGGGTTAGTTCACTGACAGATTTATTTGCATTAACTCGTATTGCTCCTTTAGATTTTCCAAATTTACCCTATCTGATCGATGGTGACTTCAAACTGACACAGTCAAAGGCTATTTTGTACTATCTCGGTCGCCAAAATAATCTTATGGGCAAGAATCCAAAAGAGGAAGCCCTGGTTATGATGCTCTGCGAACAAGCTCATGATCTTCGTATGAAATTCGGTATGGTCTGCGTCGGTCCAAATGGCGATTCGGAAAATGAAAGGAAAAAGTTTCTTGATACGACATTTACAGAAGAAATAAAACAACTCAATGCTTATCTTGGCAAGAACAAGAGCATGTTTGCTGTTGGTGATCAACCCACTGTAGCTGATTTTCAGTTATTTGACTATATCGATTGTTGTTGTTCAATCGAGGGTGGACGTACACTGCTAGACAAATATACGAATGTGAAAGAGTTACTTCAACGAATTCGTGAATTACCTGAATTGAAAGATTACATAGTCAAGTCACACGCTCAATTACCGATGCATGCCAAAAGTGAGTTTCATGACTACAATACATATGTTTACTACATGTATATGCCGTTTTACTTTATTCTAGTAGCCAACTTCGGAACACAAGTAATCGAGCAAAAGTGAATCAACAGCGAATGCTCATACTGAACGCTTTGATAAGAAAGATCGATTTTTAGAAATATACTAATGTTTCGAATAATCATTCGTGAATATGAGCAATGAAGTTATTGCAGGGAGAAGAATACCTTTATGAGATTTAAAAAATGAACCTTTTCACTTTAGAAAAACAAAATGTAACTTTTGCCATTATCTGAAAAGAGACTCCTTCTGTGACGGAACTGTATAAAAAAGGCGCATGGTCATTGTAGAGCTGACCATTTTTCATTGAATAAAGTGTCATTGACAATGACACTGTTCAGTACTCTTACATTTGGTGGGCGACTGCGGAACTACACAATGTTCTGTCAACAAGACTCTGAGAATGAAGAAGAACTCGATGATAAATTGCGACAAGAAATATAAGCAACACCAATGATAATACTTGAACAATTTTCTCAGCGCTGTCGGGTTTCAAATTATGACAGAAGCTGAACCTAAAAATTGCAGCTCGTGAAACAATCCGAGGAAAAAATTAATAAATTTATAATGAAACAGACACCGGGTTAGGATGTAAGTGTGGGTGTTGGTGAAGAGTTAACTGTCACACGCACACCAACAGCCACACGTTACACTTGTATTTGACCATGCATTTTTAAAGTCTCAACTACAATGTTCGATTAATGAACTGCAATATCAAAGTCAGTTAATATTCGAACTAATAACGAACATGAAAAATTGTGATGATATTATTCAACAATCATCAACGATGTCAACGGTATCGAGTGAACTATTCATTCACTTAGCATCATTCACCGATAGAATCAAATATCATTGTGTAACTAATTATGTTTGTTTTGATTCTACTCATTGGTCGCTAAATGAAAAAACTCGATGGTCAGACCATAATTAAATAATTCATAATGATGATATTCGACTATTGAGAAACGTGAATTGTCAATGGAATTTGAAAATATTCGATTTAAAAATGAGTAAAAGCTTGAGCCATGCGCTTAAACAAGAATCCATGATACGGATACTGTAGAATTGTTATTTGGTTTTTGGCAAGAAAATGAAATCGAAAGTCAATTCGAAACTGCTACGAATATAGTCACATCATGAAATTTATGAAATTTCATAATATATTTGTAGAATGAAGTATCTAACAAATAATGAAACATTAAATAGAAATAAGAGAAAACTAAAATACACTCTTGAGTCAGATTTTCAAAATGAATTCATAATCAGACCGATCAGATTTGTTATAAGAATTAATATCCGAAATATGTATCTCTGAGAAGAAATCTCTCGAAAGAAAGAGAGAAATAAGGGTCATGTGAAGAAACATTTTCTAGGCGATGTTACTATATTGTATATATGAATTTTTCTAAAAAATGTTGAAGGTGGCTACTCTGACCGGATACCCTGAATTAATTGCTTTTATCGTGCAGCTTGTATAATTTATCATAAAAGTAACATTTTTTTATCAATTATAATACTCCTGTAATGCTGATAATTTGTTATTGTTTGCATTATATACAGTTGTGTTCACAAACGCTTGCACTCATAAATCTTAATACTATACTTTCTCGGAATTAGTTTATTTGTGTTGTTTCTCATATGGTTGGATAGCCCACAAAAATACTACGTATGGATGTATTTTGATTTATTCTCCATCCATCTTCCATGTAACCATGAAACGCATTTTAGACGCTGCTAGATGCGTTGATCGTAAACGTTTTCTGAGTCTTAGAAAAATCAATAAATCAGATCTCTGATGCTGACTCAAATAAACAAGGCGTATAATAGAAAATGGATTTATCATGAGTGATTTGAGAACAATTGAATAGACTATATATATATATACGAAGAATGAATCAACTAAAACAAACTCTTCTGTTGAGTTGGAATATGATAAAAAAATTTAATTATAGTAACAATTCGTTTTATTGGTATGAAATCGAGAAACTGTACGAATTTAGATAAGTGATGACCATTCGAGAATAAATTCCTTAAATGAACTAATTATGAAGATTAATGAAGACTTATCATTTCCTTTTAATTTAATGAATCAGGAACGAACTGGAAAAGGGTCCAAATGAGAAAACATCAAATGGAACCGGAACGAGATGGAATCGAATTGGAAGTAAAACCATTCGATTTTTCAAACTGACAATATTGATTATCAATGACAAAAGAATCGACAATTTTTTACCAATTGTTCGAGTTCAAATAAATAACAGAAACGAAAAAAAAAATAATTTCAATTCTAATAGTCATGCTATTAGTCAAATTTCATAACGAACATTATTTTTATGGTGGTGTTTGTCACTAATTCTTCCATCACAAAACTAACATTCGCTTTTTATGTTATATGACATCTTTTTTTACTTTCATTCAATCATACATATACTCTTTCATTGGTCTTTTTTTATCTTCAGAGAATAGCTGAATACATGAGTGTTTGTTACTTTTTCTACACTGACACGCTTTTTATGCATTTCTATTTCGCGAAGAGTAGGTGGGAGGAGGACGATTATTTGATATTTATTGAAATGGAACAAAAAAAGACCCGTTCAAGAAATACTTAATCTCTAAAAGTATGAATAAGTGATGAGTTTTAGTAGTTTGTTTTGTCGTTGATAAATGATATTGTATTGAATGATTATTGATAAAAATATATTCATTTGCAAATATTGAATAAAAATAATTACAATTAGAATTAATAAATTATAATTAGAGCACAATGAAAAAAGTAGACTTTATTCTCCTTAATATCAGCTCATATCAAATATAGAATATTATAGAGGAAAAACCTTTCAATATTCGATTAGTTGATATTTGTTTCTACTTACTATTCAAGTGTTGTGCAGATCACAGTCAACTGTGTAAGTGTAGATATTGATTCCACCCACATCTCACAAGGGATTTATCTATATTTTGATTAACAATCAGAATAATATTGTATTTTGTAGCGTGCTAAATAAAATATTTATATTTTTTCACGGTTTTGAAAAATTTCTCATAAGTTTTGCTGTTTACACATGTAATGTGTATAAAACGAAAATAAAACCTTCTTTTTATTCGAACACTTAATATTTATGACCGAACGCTTATAGAAAGAAGGAATAAATAAATATATATATACATATAAATGATGAATCATTGGCAAAACCTAAGTGAGTGTTCTATTAACAGAGTAAATATAAATACTGAGCAAAAAGAAAACAAAAAAATATTCCAATGAGAATATTGAATCATAAAGACTCACTTGAATTTGAATTAGATAATAATGGTATGCATTATTCTAAGTTCAGGTTTGGTACTCATTGATTTTACTCACTTTCCTTAAAACCATATTAATAAAAAAAACAATTGCTTTTTAGAAAAGCTTAATCTCAGTTCAACAGATATTTGAACGAATCAAATTGAATTTTGTTAAACTTGATCTTTAAAAAGTTGATGCGATCAACTTTTGGGTGAAATTTTTAAGTCAACAATATTTCAAAGACTCAGTTTTGCTTCTAAGATTAGGCTGATGTTTTTCATATTTGGAAACATAATCGATTATTTTTCTTGTGACAAACTATTTTTATACAAGAAATATGGCTGATATAGTTCTGCTTATCTCTACTTCATTATATAACCAAAAGTCTCTGTAGTATTGAATTGCTACTGCAATAACAAAGTCCTTCAACGATCATTACATATCAACACAGTTATCTTTTATCAATGATGATCATTATCGAATCGTCTTTCAGTCTGTCATAAAACCTAATTAATAATGACATTAACAATAATGAAAAACTGGAAAATTAATATTTGTAAATAACAAAACTAAATATTATTTTTCTTTCCTCGTATTTAAAATAGCTGTATACATTCTTGATTCATTGCTTCTTTTTAATTTATCGAATATAAAAATTCAGGGCCATTTTCTCTGATATTACCTTCTATAGAAAAAGAGAAACGATACTTTCCTCGTTTCTGCATGCTGTCATTAAAATCAAATATACCTTTCTTGTTTGTAAAAAGAAAAAAAAAGTACGAAAAAAATAAAATGTATACTTGATTATTGATTACTTTTGTACGAGAAACATGGCTGTTAACAACGATACAATATTCAATTCAATTCATCAACTAGAAACTCTTATATTCCATGATGATATATTTAATAAAATTGAGTCTCATCCATTAATGAATCTTCGTGATCAATTGCAAAAGATTGATGGTGAATCTGAATTAAGAACAATCGATGAAATCAAGCAACTTATATCTAGTCTAAATTATTTTGAAATAAATTGTGTTTGTCATTTTATTAAGCAATATTTTTCAATAATTCCATCTACTGTCTTAGAAGCTCTATTCGATACAAGTCGTCTTCAAATCTATCTAAATATGGTAATATATCCATCGATATGTGATTATTATTTTGATTTATCACTTACTTATTTAATTTCTGATTCAACAATTAATTATCTTATTGAGGAAAAAATTAGTCCATCAAATATAGATGAATATTTTCTTGTTTTATTTTCTTCGATTGGTTCACGAGCAACTTATACAAAGGCAAAAGTTTCTTATTCAGTGTGTATTTCACGTAAAAATATTCCAACATTTTTTCAATTAAATCATTCAACAGAACGACTTTTAAGAGCTTTTATAACTTATTTAAATAATTGTTTTTTAAATAATGATCGACAACGTCCAAGTTTTTCATCGATTTTGAAATGGATTAATAATATTACAAATATCTATGGATTTATTCCTTATTTTCTTATGACGGGTTATCCAGATGCAATTTTACAATGGATGTCAATTGAACAAGATCATATAAAAGATATTGATAGTGAATCATGGGCATGCATATTTGGTTTATCATATAATCTAGCACGACATCCAATGGCCGTGGAAGCATTTAATAAACTAAAAATGATTGATATTATCAAACGATGGAAAGACCAATATATATTCGAATCACCAGCTGTAGATTATGATGAAAACAACAAAGAGATTCTTATTACTTACTATCTTCTTTATGCAATATTATTGGAACCAAAGCAATTGAAAAAAGAAAGTATTTCTAATGTTGAAAAAATTCTTGATTATATTCTTGAACGAACAATCCAAGCATTTAATTCTGATTATCTTTCCTATGGTTCATTTAATGTTTGTGAATATTTAAATGGACTTGCTAAATTAGTTGTTAATGATACATTTCTTGTTTATATTATTTCACGTGAAAATATCTATGAATTATTGATTGAAAAATTTATTTTATTTGATACCATATGTGAATCAACAGTACTTAATGGAAGTATTTGTTCATCACTTTATACGATATTTTGGTCAATTAGTTTTCTATCTGAATATAATATTAAATTAAAATCAAATGATAAGTTTCTTTTATTAGTTAAACAAAGAATAAACTATGAATCAAATGATGAGCATGCTTTAGTCATACGACAAGCAGCTAAAGGAATTCTTTTTAATCTTGATTGTCTACAAATGGATATGTCACCAATTGAAGATAATGGTAATAGCAATGATGATAATCAAATAAAAGTCATGATTTCTTATTCACACAAGGACGACAAAATTTGTAGAAAACTTGTTTTAGAACTTCAACAACATTTTCAAGGTGATATTTGGGTAGATTTTATTAAATTATCACCACCATATGAAGATGACTGGGAAGAAATTGCTAAAGCAATAACCGAATGTGATGTTATTCTAATGATTGTAACAGAAAATTATTGTAGTTCAAAAAGTTGCCGAAGAGAAGTCGTTCATGCTGATAAACGTCACAAACGTATGGTACCTATTTATATAGGAACAGATTATACACCAGAAGATTGGTTTGAAATTCGTGCTGGTTCTGCAACATGGGTGCGTTTTAGAGATACAAAAAGTGATGAAGAAGTTATAGGAATTCTTTTGGGATTAATTAATGTACGAGATAAAGTTAAACAAAATGATAAAAAGCTTACTGTTTCGCATGATTCTAATTTCCAAAAGAAATCAGAAATTGAGACAAATACAATTAATAATACTCAAACTATTGAAATATTATTACCGGTGAATGCCAATCCAATTGCAGAAGTTCGCAACGTACAATTTCAATCAAATTCTAGCATCTCAGACATTATACCTACTTCTCCAATCGAACAATGAACTTCTGAAGAAGTACAGCGATGGCTTTGTTTGCCACCATCTATCCTTCAACTGTCATCTGGTCGAGCTTTACTGACATATATAAAGTTACTGTCACATGATGATGCACAATATGACGAATATGAACATCGAATGCGTGATCATGGTATAAGTCGAGAGCAATTTTCTAATTTAATATCATCATTTGAATCTATTCTTGCATCAAGTTACAAGAAAACAACATCAACTGATCAATGGACACGTGAAGACATGAAATGTTGGTTTCAACAAAATCATTTATCTAATCATTTAATTAATGCATTAGGTTTTATTAATGGATCTCAACTTATTCTTTATGGAAAATTAACTCTTGATTCAACAGTACGTATTAATGAAGAATATGATCGATTGAGAAATAAAATTGGACACGACCTTTTTCATCTTGATGAATATGTTCGTTTTTTGGATTGTTTGAAAACAATTGTCGGTGAATCAAAATCAAAACAAGAACAAGCCTCATGCAACATACTGTAGTATTTTTTTCCTAATAATATGTCTCTAATTTTGTTCTTTGATTCTTGTAAATTCTTGTCGTACTTATGATACGCCAAAAGTAGTGATTTTCACAATTAAAAGCACACAGGAATGAGTTCATTAAGTATGGTGTGGGTGTGAGCCTTCTTCTCGTCTGGACTACAGTCATAATCATCCATCCACATCCTGCTTTGAAGCTTTTTCACGTCTAACATATCCAATGGTCGGGCAGCTGAAAATTTTCCTCCTCTTTTTCATACATTAGGAGAAAGGGGCTATCTAAGAGTAATGCTCATCGCTCTGACATCTGAATCTAAGGTCCGAAACTTTTCATACATTCTTCGCTCACCTGAAACTTTTTTTGTCATACTGACACATTCATATGTAGTCTGCTGTTTTTTTTGACTTGTCTCCGGCATATTACTACGCATGGCTTGAAGTTTCTCACTGTTCTATGGACATATTAATTAGTGTGCGGAAATTTTTTGCTGTGTCTATTTTGACTTCATGTGTGAGTTTTCGTATTTTACTTGCAGTTTTACGTATACGTTTGTGATCTAAAACTCGCCACAATGAGTCAGACACATTCTATTAAAGAGATCTGGGAGTTGAAAATTGCTTCTTTCCTTTTACACCAGCTGTTAAATTAAAAGCTATAGCTCAACGATTTTCATGAACTATACATATGGCGGAAACTAAAATAGCTGAAAACTTTAGTTCATTTGTATTTTGATACACTAAAAAGCTGTTTGACACTCACATAGTTAACTTATTTGCTGAATTCATAAATAAATCATTCTAATTTCAATGCTATAACTTCATTTTTAGGTTTTATAAATTGAACTTTAGAAGTCATTTTATCAATATGTAATGTTCAAATTACGTTTTCGAAGAAGAATATATCTCATTAATAAATACAAAAGAATTTGAAAACTACTGTCACGTGATTCTTGAGCCAATCAAATAAACAAGGTAGTAGATAAAGAGCATGTGAGTCAATCATTCCTATTAGAACCCAAATCAGCCTGTGCACTATTAATATGCGTGATGTAAATACATGCGTATACGGAACTTTCGAGTCGCTTGGTCACGCTTATCCAGCATGACACAAGTGTATTTGTGCGTGTACTGACCAGTAATGTGAGCTCGTTTATGCGTTTCTATTGTTTCATTCTTGATTTTTCTGTAGACCCTGTCTTGTTCCTGATTCTTTCGGTCTCATTCGACTGCTTTTCCTATTTACAATATCTTCTGACAATAAAAAAAAAACGGTGCGTGGTGGATGTCGCTGTTCTTCATCAACACCCAAAAGTAATGTTATTGAACGATGTCATGCAGATGTCGCATGTTTTACACCAACACTATGGCACTTGCATCACAGTGTGTAGAAAACATCCACACTCATGATGAAACTTTTCATCCCAACCAAAAGCATCGACTGAAGAACTTCGAAACACGTCATAAGATGTATTGATTGTTTTATAATAAGCACACCTATACCCTATAGGAAAAAATGAATGAAACAAAAGATTACAAGAAATATGAGTAACACTAAATAGAAGTTGCAACATCAACAAGTTTGTAAGAGAATTTTTAAACTATCAGTGCCTGTGTCAGCGACTACGAAATCCAGCTTTCCGTCATTGTTAAAATCGCCAACGGAGACCGAGAATGGAAGAGATCCATAACCGATCGGGAACAATTCCACATCTGCGAATGATCCATTACTATATCCAAGCAGTACACCCACCTTTTTAGTACCAAAATTGGCGACAATAATATCTGATGATCTGTCGTTATTAAAATCACCAATGGCGACTGCATAAGGCTGAGATTTAGAGCCAGTCGTAAAAGTGTTTTGACTTAGAAAAGAACCATTTCCATATCCGAGAAATACACTAACATTGTCATCATCATGATTAGCAGTGACGATATCAAGTATGCTATCCTGGTTGAAATCGCTAACTGCAACAGACACTGGAGTAGTGCCGGTTAAAAATGTCCTTTGATTTGTGAAAGAATAATTGCCATATCCGAGAAAAATTCCTACTTTGCTAGTGCCAGAATTGGCGACTGCAATATCCATTTCACCGTCATTGTTAAAATCACCAAGAACGAACGACCTTGGTCGAGATCCATTGCCAGTGATGAGCGTCGTCTGTTTTACAAGCACTTGATTGAGATATCCGAGAAGTACACTTATAGTATTACCTTCCTTATCAGTGACGACGATATCCAGACGAGTATCATTATTAAAATCACCAACAACTACATGATTCGGATAATAACTACTTAAATATATCATTTGATTTACAAAAGACCCATTGCCATGTCCGAGAAGTACACTAAGAGTATGGTCTCCAGAATTAACAACGACAATATCCAAGTGAGCGTCATTATTAAAGTCAGTAACAGCTAAGGAGTTTGGACTAGAACCAGTCGAGTATTTCACTTGATTTGCAAAAGACCCATTGCCATATCCGAGAAGTAAACTTACAGTATCATTTCCATTATTACTGACAACAATATCTAATCGAGCATCATTATTAAAATCACCCACAGCTACAGAGGTTGGAAAAGAACCAACAGGGTATGTCGTTTGTTTTGAAAAAGAGCCATTACCATGTCCGAGAAGTACACTTACAGTGTTGCCATAATAATTAGCGATGATAATATCCAGACTAGTGTCGTTATTCAAGTCACCAACAGCTACAGACATTGGTCTAGAATCAGCTGAATATGTTGTTTGATTTGCAAAAGAGCCATTATCATATCCAAGAAGTACACTTATTGTGTTTTTATTATCATCATTAGCGACGACAATATCCAATCGGTTATCGTTATTAAAATCACCAACAGCCACAGATTGTGGATAACTGCCCGTTGAATATGTCGTTCGATTTTCAAAAGAACCATTGCCATGTCCGAAAAATATACTCACAGTGTTGTCACCCCAATTAGTGACGACGATATCCAGTCGAGTATCGCTATTAAAATCACCAATAGCTATAGAGGTTGGCCCAGACTCAGTTGCATATTTCATTTGACTCGCAAAAGAGCCATTTTCATATCCGAGAAGTACACTCATAGTGTTGTCACCCCAAGTAGTAACGACAACATCCAGTCGAGTGTCATTATTAAAATCACCAACAGCTACGGAGGTTGGTCGAAGGCCAGTTGAGTATGTCATTTGATGAGACCATGATGGGTTGTCATATGCAACAAGTACATCTATATTATCAATGTCATCGTATGCTACAACAATTTCCGAACGTCCGTCATTGTTGAAATCGCCAGCAGCAATGAACAATGGAGCAAATTCATAATCATTGTCATAGTTAACTTGACTTTCAAACGCTCCGTTCCCGTTTCCCAGAAATAAATCAACATGTTTAGTACCATGATTGGCCACTGCAATATCTACTTGGCGGTCTTTATTGAAATAACCAATGGCAATCGAGTAAGGATGAGAATTGAAGCCTGTCGAGAATATCGTTTGATTTCCAAAAGTGCCATTCCCATGTCCAAGAATGACACCTATGTTATTTGTACCATAATTGGCAACAACAATATCCAGTAGGGTATCATTATTGAAATCAAAAACGGCAACACTTCGCAAATGAGAACCCTTGCTAGGTGAAAATGTGATTTCGTTTGCCAGAGCTCCTCTATCATAACGAAGCAGAACACTGACATTGTTGTCATATTCATTAACAAAAACAATATCCAATCGGGTGTCATTGTTAAAATCACCAACAGCTACAGAGATTGGAGTTGAGCCAGTTGAATATGTTATTGGATCTGCAAAGGAACTATTACCATATCCGAGAAGTACACTTACAGTGTCATCCCACCCATTTGTCACGACGATATCCAATTGAGTATCGTTATTAAAATCACCAACAGCTACAGAGCTTGGCCCAGAACCAGTTCGATATGCTGTTGGAATTGCAAAAGAGCCATCGCCATATCCAAGAAGTAAACTTACAGTGCCACCGAATATATTAGTGACAACAATATCCAGTCGGATATCGTTATTAAAGTCACCAACTGCTACAAAATCTGGAGCAAGACCAGATAAATATGTCTTTTCAATGGCAAAAGACCCGTTACCATATCCGAGAAGTACACTTACAGTGTTACCATCATGATCAGCAACGACAATATCCAGTCGGGTATCATTATTAAAATCACCAACAGCTATAGATTGCGGGTGAGACTCAATTAAAGATGTTATTTGACTTAGAAAAGAGCCATTACCATAGCCGAGATGTACACACAAATTCTGGTCACCGGAGCGAGAGATAATGACGATATCCAATCGGTTGTCGTTGTTAAAGTCACCAGTAGCTACAGAGGTTGGATAAGTGTTAGTTGAGTATGTCGTTTGATTTGTAAAAGAGCCATCGCCATATCCGAGAAGAACACTTACAGTGTTGCTATGCTCATTGGTGATGACGATATCCAATTGGGTATCGTTATTAAAATCACCAACAGCTATGGAGGTTGGATAGGTGCCAGTTGAATATATCGTTTGATTTGCAAACGAGCCATCGCCATATCCGAGAAGTACACTTACAGTGTTGTCATAGTAATTAAGGACGACGATATCCAATCGGATGTCGTTGTTAAAATCACCCACGACTAAAGTTTTTGGTAAAGAGCCGGTTGAATATTTCTTTTGATTTTCAAAAGAGACCTCGTCGTAACCAAGTAGGATACCGATGCTGCTCGTGTCATTGTTGATGACGACGATGTCTGAACGATTGTCTCTATTGAGATCGCCTATGGCAACTGCGATTGTCGAAAAAGATCCTGTTGAATACGTTTTCGGGTTCGCAAAAGTATTGTTTTCGTTTCCAAAAAGTACAGCTATATTATCAGTACTATTATTTGTGACGACTAAATCCATTCGGTTGTCCTTGTTGAAATCACTAATGCCAATGGAATATGGAGAAGCGGTGCCGAGCGAATATGTCGTCTGCCTTATAAAATTTCCATTGCCGTTGCCCAGAAGCACACCTACACTGTTATTTCCATTGTTGATGACGGCAATATCTAGCATAGTGTCGTCATTTAAATAACCAACAGTAATCGAGTATGGATGGGAATTAGGACCAGTGGAAAATGTGATTTGACTCGCGAAAGTACCGTTACTACTTCCGAGGAGTATACCGACTTGGTTTGTACCATAATGAGCAATAGCAAGGTCCATCTGTTTATCGTTGTTGAAATCTCCACTAACAACCGCAAGCGGAAAAGAATCATAGCCTGTGAAGTGCGTATTTGGTCTTGAAAAGTGTCCATTTCCATATCCATAAAAAATGCTCACACTGTGTGTGCCGTAGTTGGCGGTGACAATATCAAGTGCTGTGTCATTGTTGAGATCTGCTACATGGATCCATACAGGACGAGATGATGCAGTTGATAGAGCTGTTTGACTCGCAAAGGACCCGTTTTGGAATCTAAGAAATATACCGACGCTGTTTGTACCGAAATTTGCGATGACAATATCCAGTCGACGATCATTGTCGAGATCACCAACAGTGATCATGGATGGAGCAGAGCCAGAACCGGTTGAATACTTGACTGGACTTGCTACAGTGCCATTGCCATATCCAAAATATATGGTTATATTGTCGGCGTCATAATTGGCAGCAGCAATATCAGGCAAAGTATCATTGTTGAAGTCACCGATGGCAATAGATCGGGGACCATACTTATATGCAATCGGATTTGGAGTCTTTGGATCGAAATTCATTTTACATTTTAGGGCTAAGAAACACAAGAACATAAAAATAAAGACTGATCAGTTACTGTGATTCAACTAAACTTGATGAACTGTAGCAGATTTCCCGTGGTACTGACAATATTCTATTGAAAATTTTCCGTTTCTAGCAATCAAATCTGAATGACTACCAGTACTTTCCAATCGAAATTTGTTGAGTCCCGTGAAACTCATTACTCAGAATACTCGTCTTGCTCTTTCTTTCATTTACCAGAGAATTCGTTCAAGAAGCGGATAGTGACTGAGAAAAAACAGACACTGCAAGTAATATACTTTAACTAAGAACCATAAATTCGTCCTAAGTATATGGTCAAAATCACTATTTTCTCTATTTTACAGTTTCTTTTATGATATATCATCGACCATAATTACAATATCATGATGTAAGTTTAGAACAGTTTCGAAATCAAAAGATTGTCAACGCTGCTGTGATGCGACAATCCTGTCATTGCATCATGAATATTTTGCATTAATAATCAAAAATAACAATCAGAATACAACTATGATCCATGATTCCCTTTTGTCTAATCACACTGCACTATTATAGCATGGTATCGATAGTTGTATAATAATCTCTGCTTTTCTAAACGACGAGAGGACTCTTACATTCTCGTTTCTCATTCTCAAATTCACTCGTGTCCTAATAAAAATTTGTCGCAGACGTATAGTTATTCGAATATCTTGAAAGTTTAAGCGAAAAATGCATGTATTCTTATTCAGATGATCAACTCGCAAGAATTACTTATATATTGAAGCACGACGAATTCATTGTCTAAAAATAGATACAAACGTTTGTGCTCAAAGCTTTAGTATATTCTAATATCTATGAGACATATGAGGGCAAAATATCAGGTCGAAACATCGTCATTTGACTTTTTAGTGCACGATGAGCTAGAAGAAAATATCGCTATGACAGGTATAACTAATGACAAAAAGCACTTTCACGAAGAAGAAAGTCTCACTTTTTTTCAGAAAAATGAGTATACCAAATTTCTTTGAAAAGGAGATTATTGCGTTTTCTATAACACG